GGCTAGATCCTTTTCTGTGCCATCCTTGGTCGAGTGTGCAGAACTGTCGCACATAAATTTTAATTAACTTTGTTTTTAATTGTTGCAAATTTATGTTCGAAGGGCGGGCAACGGCGAAAGGAGTCGGACGTCGAGGATGCCACGGATGCAACACCTTGGCTTGGTGTCTTGGTCTCTGGTCTGCATCGGTGGCATTGGTGGGCTAAAAACGACAAACGAACAAACCGAAAAAGGGATCGAAGGATCCTTTTTTTTTTTTTGGTATCTCTGGTCCCTGCAATTTCTGCTCTAAATTATTTGCAATAATTTCAGCCCCTGCCCTTATTGCGAAAATCTTCAATAAATTGTGTTGTGTTCCCTTCCCAGTTGCCCACTTCCCCCTTTTTGCATCCTTTCGCCTTCGTCGTCCTGCCAGTCGTCGTCCTTTCGGCTTTGTTGTAATTTACTCCTGCTTGTTGGATGGATGCTTCAGACATCTCCCGTCGCGTATCTGTATCTGTATCGCCCAGTATCTTTGTATCTTTCTATCTTTCTTCATTATGGCAACCATTGTCTTCGCTGTCTGGCTCAGACAACGTCGGGCATCCTTTTTGGCCGTGCCTCGTGTGTTCCAGTTTGCTCTCCTTCCATCACATCCTCCGAGTTCTGAGTTTTTCAGGGTCACCTCTGGTTCTCCCTCCCTACCACCCTACCTCTTGGCACTCCCCACCCCCCTAGGCATTTGGACCCTAGGCATTTTTGCCAAGAATTCGTTTTTCGAAATTGTCTCGTATTTGACAGTTGACAGTTGGTCGACTTTTGAGTTGGAAAGTTATGAGCATAAACATCATGATATTTGGGCCCCTGAGTCCTTAGTCCTTCGTCCTGCGACCGAAGGCCCGTTATTGCCATTTATCCTTTTATATATAAAGTGCATTGTGCAATTCTGCCAACTCATGGTTCGTTTTTTTTTCGATTTCTAGTTTTTAAAAAATAGCAAGAGCCTTAAAAAATGTATGAAATCAATTAATCATTTTGCGGAAATGCAACATCATTTATGATTTAATGGTTTCATTTGTGGGTTTCGCAAAATAATCATAAAAAAAGGAAAACGCCGCCAACTCATACATATTAAAAAAAAAATCCCCCCCTTCTACTGAAGCGTTAATGAAGTCGCTTTACCAATTTCCTCTTTTTGGAAAACTAAATTTTCCAATCAATGTTCGCTTTCCCCTTTTCGCAAAAACACTTTCCCCGAATCTCTACTGTTTAGTTTTTGTTTTTTATGATTTTATGCAAAACGCAAACAAAGCCGCGCGACAAGCATTTGATACACTTTTAGGATTTTTGCATTTTTGCCGAGCCGAGCCGGCCGAGCAAATCAAATATCGATAAATTCCGCAAACAATGCCAACACGGGCGCATTAATCACAGGCAACAACAATAAACCAGCAGCCGAGGCAGCAGCAGCAGCCCTATCTACATATCCTGCAAGGACATTAAGCCACAAGGTCCTCGAAGTACCCGTAAGCGCTTCGGCAAAGGATCACTCGAAAAGGGTTCAATCGGAGAGAATCAAGTGGCTATAGAAATTTTTTTTTATAGTGTCACAGGCACTCGGCAAACAATTTTCAAGTGATTTCTTTAGTTTTAAAATAAAATTGTTTAAAAAAAATAAGAAAAGAGAGAGGACTCTTTAATTATTATTTTAAACAAAGAAGTAATTAGGTTGATATTTTAATAATAAATAATTTGTTAGAAAGGATGTTTCAAAACTTGTTACTTACTTATATGTAAGTAATACGAATAAGTCACAAATAATTAAAGTAATGTTAGATAGATCTTTAAGTAGGAATAGATACTATAAAAGATGGTTAGTAGATAAAATATATATGAGTTCAATATAATAGATATTTTGTATTATATCTAATAAATACTATTTCAAAATATTATTAACAGTTTCTAGATATTTAAAAGTCTTTAAAATATTTCTAAAAATATTCAAGTCGTTCTTAAAAGTCAGTTTTCCATTCAAAAGTTGCTATATTATATTTCTACCTTGAAGGTATAGAACCTCTTTGTAAAGTATTTATTGCATTTCCAAGAAATTTTTCAAAGAAATTTTTAGATAACTTGATAACAGATAACAGCTAAATAAATATATAATGTATTAATTATTTATAAAGATTTATTAATCTATTTTTTTTTTAACAAATTCAAGGGTTTCAATTTGAAACTTTCAAAAGATCTAAGCTCTGGAATCTTAGTCTTCGGCTGTCATAAAGATACTGTATTGTAAGAAAAATAAATAAATGGTTACCCAAAATATGCAATATTTTAAATTTAATAAAATCTACAAGTTTAGATCCATATCTTTATAGATCTTTTGGCTTCTAAAATTTCTATAAAGTTATCTGCCAAAATAAAGAAACCTAACCGCCCCTTTAAAAAGCTATGCAACCCCAGCCATAATACCTCCAAAAAGCCATACCCTCTGAGAACTTTTTTTTCGCAAGTTTATACGCCAAAGTGGCGAGAATTCAGCCACAGGCCATTGAGCAATGCAATTCTCCCTTTCTCCAGTCCAGTCCGGTCCTGATCCAGAGCCACATCCAGATCCAGATCCTGATTCTCCGGCTGAGAAAAGAGAGTGAAAGTCAAGTGGTCCTTGGCGACGCCAGTGAGCGAGTGAGTTGGCATTTAAAAAAAAAACACACAGAATAGCAGGGGGATTGTGGTAAAAAAAAAAAAACCCAACAACAACAACAAAAAATGCACGCAAAGGGCAATTTGCATAGCCGATCGGGGCAGTGAGTCCTTGATCCTTGAGGCCCTGCGATGTGTCGTCCTGAGTCCTTGGTCTCGTTTCGGGCTCGTTAATTAAGCGTAAAATCGTCGCACACGAAATGTTGAAAACTCCAAATTGAATTTGAGTGGTTTTCGTGTGTATTTTTTATTATACTTTCAATTTGTTGTCCTTTAACGGGACAAAACCGCACTAAATGGTGGGATTATGGTAATTTCTTAAAGGATATGATGGGATGGATGGTCGAAGACAAATCGGTCTTGGACACGCCCTGTTTAGATATGGATGCTCGTTAAATCAAATTAATCAGCAGAACTACCATATATCCCTATTTTTTTTCTTGGCAATGCAATCCTTTTTCTTTTTTGCTCTGGAAACTCTCTCAAAAACGCATTTAATCCTTTTGTGCGGCTATGTAAACAGCGATAACTCAACGACACAAAAAGGATGTCGGAAGAGGGTCCTGAATGCCCCGAAATCGAAAGTAAAATTCGCAAAAAAAGGGGAAAAAAAAGAGTTGAAAAGTTGAGAAATTTTCGCCATTCTTGATCGGATTCTTTGGTGGATGGAACGAGGCGGCAATCAATTAACTAACCCTTTCAATCCATTGTCCTGGATGCAGGATCGATGATCGGAAGATAGGAAAAACCCAGAAAACCAAACAACTTTCACCGCAAAATAAGAAAGCGGAAGGATAACGTGCAAAATATACGATCTCTGTTAGCGATCTTTCGCCAGGATGGCAAATGAAGTGATTAAGGATATATGGCGGCGGGTCTTCGAAATAAGATCATCCACTAGATAACTAGATCTGGCACATTGGTCACGGGCACTTTGAGTGATCGGTAGTATGTAGTATAGCTCGGCAGTTCCGTCAAAGTGATGGGATCGATCACTTGAACATCACTTAGTCTCCCAAGATCCTTCACTCACTTGAGGATCACTCAAGTGAACCAAAAAACCGAAAAGAAAATAAATATGTGTACTACTGCCCCAAACGGCAGCTGGTCAAGAGTCATCAAGACACATGTGGGCAGTTATCAAGGATCGAAGATCAATAAGTAGATCAGTATATTGGTTCCATATTTTATATTTCATATTTTTTGGAGGAAGAAATATGTACTTCAAGAACAGCGAGGGAGCTGGTAGTACTACTTTGGTAATAGAATTTTTTTTAACTGACACTTCCTATCACATGCCAAGTGCTAACGTGATAATGATCGTATCTCTGATGGAAAACTTTTTGCCCAACTGACGCTTAGTGGCTAGCAGGATAAAAGTCCATTTTCCCAGCCTTTGTAACGTTATTCTAATGACTCCTTCCGGATGTGGCAAACATTTTCAATTAACAAAAAAAAAAGAAGGAAAATACCCTTACTCCGCTAAAGAGCAGCAATTAATACTGATACGACAAGTGGCTAAAATGCCAACCAGGAAGTTGCTCAATCTACGCCACAACCAGGCTAATTAACTTCCTTTTTGGCCAACAGAGCCTGTTGCTTTTGGTTGTTGGCCATTCAAATTCCAGAGGGGGGAGAGACCAAAAAAGGAAGCGGCCAGCGATCATTTCCTTGACTCGCAGGAGTCGTGAGGGGAATGAAAGCAAATTTAATAACCCGCCGATGTCTATCTAGATGTCATTTTTTTGTGGTGTTTCTTTTTAGGAAAAAAGTATACATAAACTAGGGGCTCGACCTGCCGATCTGTGGGAAAGGATGAGGAGGTGTTGCTTACAAGTCAGAGGATAGTTTTAAAAAAAACCAAGAAGGAATCTAAATAGATTTTAAAAGTTAGAGAATAGCTAAAAGAAGGAAGGAAGGAAAAGCTTCTTTATAAGATGATTTTTTTGCAAAAATTCTAAAAAAGGAGATGCAAAATTCCTCCTTTTTTAGATGCATATTAAAATTAAGAACCTTAACTAAAACTTAATATTTTTTTTAGAATTTTAAAAACCCAAGTTAAATACTATCCTTGAAAGTCCAACAAACCTTCTAGCTTTGAAAGATTTTCCCGAGGACTCACAAGTCTCTCTCTAGCTCTCTAGCACTCTCTCTCCCTCCCTCCCAGAGAGCTAGTCATCCTGCATGTCCTTCTGCCCTTCAGGGCGGGCTGCGCTTGCGCAACAACCCCTAACACTCTCCCGCCGCCGGACCGCTCTCGGCGAGCGGTATAAAACGCTGCCCGCTCCCCGTACCGCTTCAGTTTGTCAGCGAGAGCCGTTCCGAGCGGACACCGAGCAGAGTCCTGCAGATTCCTTTTTTTTTTCCTTCAACGAAACCCAATCGACACACAAACCAACCAACATGCTGAAGTGGACAGCCTCGGCCCAGAGACTGAACGAGATGCCAGCGGAGAGCGGGGATGCGGCGGCATGCCCCAGCCAGAGGCGGCAACAGCGGCGGCAGAGACGCCAACGTCGCGCCACCATCGCCAACAAGGAGAACGTGCCGGACTATATCGCCTCCACGCCCATGCCAGTGTCGCGGCTGCGCAACAGTCCTTTGGTGCTGGCGCCCTTGAGCGATATCCGCAACATTACGCCCGAGTCCTTGGCCAGGAGCCGGTCGCCGGCCGTCCAGCGGGTGCAGAGTGTGCGGTATGCCACCACCTTGCCCATGTTCGCCGAGGACTACTCCCCCAACGGAGTCCTCCTGCCCACCGGCCAGCATCTGGCCTTGCGGGGTCTGGCGCCCTTGGATCCTTTCCTGGGCCAGCCCCGGTACATCAATGCAGCAGGATCGGGAGCAGCAGCGGGAGTCAACACCACTCTGAAGAAGCGCAAGTTGGATGCCGACTTTGTGGCCACCATGGATGAGCCGCCGCCAGCTCCGGCGACAAAGACCATCACACCGCCACGTCCTGTCACACCCCAGCCTGCCACCACGTCCTCGCAAATGGGCGACCAGACGCTGGATCGTCTCATCGACGCCATCCTAGACTCGGCCTGCAAGTCCAAGGACGCCAGCGCCAAGAAGAAGCCCCGCCGCAGCACCTTCAACCTGCGGCGCAGGACTTTGGTGAAGCAGCAGCTGGACGCCGAGTGCGCCCGCGTCGAGGTCCTGTCGCCCTCGTATGCTCCTGGCGACGATCCGGCCAGCGATCTGAGCTTCGGTCTGGTGCCCATCCCAACCGGCTTCGCCACTCCCGAGCCCGGCACTCCAGTGTCCAAGATCACCCACAACATCCTGGTGCAACTGCCCACGCCCTTGGTGGGAAATCCTTTGCCGGCATGTCCTTCGGACAACACCTTCTGCCTGGAGACACCCGTCCGGAAGCTGAAGAGGGGCCGTGCCGAGGAGCGCTTCACCGCCAAGGAGAACCTGGCCAAGGAGTCGCCTCTGAAACGCTACAAGGTCGACGAGCGCAACTACTTCGAAGTGGGCCTGGCCTTGCCCTCCTCGATTTACGTTTAAAAATGACTGGAATCCTGGAAAAAGGACATCCTGACGAGAAAAGAAAGATGAGCCGCTGACAAACGGGGGGAAAACGCTTAACTATGACGCTTAACTAGTTCCTAAGTCCCAACAACTAGATGTACATAGCAAACCTAGCTCTAAGTCTAGCCAATTAACTCAATTATTTATGTATTTTTTTTTGGACGCTGCTGTTATGTAGTTTTTGTATCCACAACCTTTTTTTTCCATTATTTAATTTTAAAACAAATATTTATTAACAGTTTAAGTATAAAAAAAACCTTTTTTTTTATAAAAAAATAAATTAAAAACTAAACAAAAAAAATATGAAGTATTTTTAAAGAGGTTTTATTTTGGGAAGCAGTATATTTCAGGATGCTCTATAAGATAAACTAAAGGCTTGGTTTGTAATATTTTTAATAGAAAGAAAATATCCCTAAAAATACTAGGGTATGCTTTAAAATTATTATCTTTCTATTAAGAGTTTATAGATGGAGTTTCTTTTGGGGAGTTTCTTTAGAGGAGGTTATTTAGAAAGTTTCTATTGGGTTTTTGGAAGAATTATTGTAAACCGATAGTTATAAACCGATAGGACTTCAAGAGAGGTCTAATGTCTTTATAAAATAGAAAATTGGAGCCTTGCTAGAACTAATTGTATGACTGATTTAATATTCTCTATAACATTACCCTAAATAACCAGTACTTCTATCCATAGCTATCTAGTATCGGGTATCATATACGACTTGCAGACATAACACTTGGTAATCCTAAGTAAAAACCATATCTTAGAATACCCTGCAAAACTAGCTCTAAAGATCTTTACAAAACTCTAACCATAAGCCCTTAAATAATGATTTTTATAAAATATATCTCAAGCCAAAGAACAACCAAACCTAATACAGCAAACCTAACTAATTCCTTAGAACAACCTCCCGCAAAAAAAAAATGAAATATTATGAAATATGTACCACCTGCAGTGTCCCGTGTCATGCAATTTACAGAATGTCCAGCTCGTGCCATTATCCTGGCGACCTGTTGTAGCCAAGGATATTTATACAGTTGCTTGACCAACCGATTTGCTTTGCTTTTCCAGGCGACCAAAACAAACAAGGCGATCCGACGGTACACAGGTTGAATGGCTGACAGGTACACGGGAACACACGCCCCAGGACCACGGCCAGGATCAAGAAAGAATGGGCCGGAAAAGGAGTCAGAGTCACGGCAACAGCTGGCCCAGCCTAGCTGGCAGCCTCTCAAGAAGGACCGAGAAAGAGCCCAAGCCAAAGCCAGACAGAACCTTTTAGCCAGGACCTATTAGTGCTGCTATTCGAAGAGCTCGAAAAACGGCTAGTTTGAAGGATAATAGCATTTTGTGTTTAGATGCTGAAGCTCTTAGCAGCTTTCCATTCATGGTCCGACGAGGCAATGCCCTAAAAGCATCCCTCATTTGCATTTTAAACTCGTATCATAACTGCAAAGCCTCATCCTCAGCGTAATCCAACCGATGCGTTTTGCACCCTTTTCTCAAAATTGTTTAATAATGCGAAATAAATGAGCTTTTAGGTGGGAATAAATGCAAGCCAGCACTGAAAGAAAAATATGGAATATGGAATATGAATATGAAATTAGTTTGGAAAAGCAGTATTCATAGTCATAGGTTTCTAGTGGTGGGTATTGTTACCATAATACCATATTAGAAACTTTTGAAGGGTCCTCTTTCTTTAGTTTTAGTTTAGTTTAGTCTTACTTTGGTTTGAAAGAAAACTGGGTACATTTATATCTTTGATCCTATAAGTACTGGGTTTCTTACAGTTACTGTATCATATCATATACTACCCTGTATCCTAGAGTTATCATAAACTGGACTCCTATCTTCTATTGAAGCCTTATTTTTGGTTTAAAAGAAACCCGATTACTTTTATATTTAAGATCCTACAAGTACCCGGTATCATATAGTTACTGAATATCATATACTACTATACTATTCCTAAGCCTTCCTTCTTGCTTTCATTTCCTTCCTATTTTTGGCTATAACTATTTCCCAACTCTATGTTTAAAACCCCCTAAGTCCTAGCTATCCTATATCTATCTAACATCTAGCTAGATTTATCCTCATCACTGACCAGGACAGGACAGCACACTTGTTAACACTTTGACGCCCTCGCACACGGTTTTTGGCACTGTAACTCGATTTGAGTGCGGTAACAGACACAAAAGGACCTACGATGCGGTGCGGAAGGAACCCGCTTAATCCGGTTATACTTCGATCCTTCGATCCTCCGAATCCCTCCACGGACAACCTGTCATCAGGTCGCACATTCCTGTGGGCTTGTCCCTAATTTGTAGCCCATTTAGACTGCGACTGTTATAGATAATTGAATTATTTTTATTATTGTTCATCTTGGAAAGGGTCTGTTGTGGGTTTCCCGCTAACTTGTCTCCTTCTCTACCGATATCCCTTGCTGGTTACACTTGCTGGGATCGGGATCTAGACTCCCTCGATTCTCTATCCGGGATCCCCATCCGCTCCGCTTCACTGCCAGCTGTGCTCACCCGCATCGTTAGACCAATTTCCTAATGTCGCCAGTTTTCGGGCAACACCCCTTTGTCCGACTCCCCGACTTGTTTCTTCTAACCCTTCTGTCTTTGGGCCAAGAGCCTGTTTCCGTCTTGGTTACTTCCTTGCGTTGCGTGTCACTTGGTTAATCGATAAAAATTTAATTAATTGCTTGTAAAAGTGATAAAATATAACAACAAATGCTCAATGAATAGAGGAGGAGAGAGGATGGTAGGCGGTCGGGCACTTCTGTTTCTAGAAGAGGGTGTGGAAAATGGTCACAGATGGTTGCCTAAAAAATGGGTTAGGTCTCAAAGAAAATATTTAAAATGAAAGCGTTTAAAATAGATACTTTTTACAAGTATTAAAATGAATAGATTTTAAGAACAAAGTTTTTAAATGCAAAATATTTAATTAATTTGAAATCCTTTTTCAAAAACAAGTCCACCTTTTTTTTCATTCATTAACCTTCATTTATAAATTTCGAATTGCAATTGCCAACTACGAGTTTGTTTGTTAAAATAAAACCCGATTCGAGCAAGGTCTTGGTCCTTTGGCATGTCCTTCTGCCAAATGCCGATCCTTTTTTTGCACTCCTTCATTATGCAGTTAGTTAATCAACAGCTGGCCGCAAAAAAAAAGGAAGTGCTGCGGCTGAAAAGGATTCGAAATTCAGGATCCAGAAGTCTCAGGCTCGGGGGCAGGACCACATTTCTGCCAGATGCATTCGCGATTTTTTTCTTACGTCCTTGTTCGTCCTCGTACCTCGTCCTTGCCAGTGTGCCAGTGTTGTTCGCCTTCGTCATGGAATTCGCATTCGTTTTCCCTTTTTTCATTTATTTTGGATTTGCGGATTGTTGATTGACAAACAAGAAGCTGCCACCGCTGCCACCGCCGCCGCAGGCTAAATGGTTTGAGGCCCAAGGACCTTAACCCGCCCCTGCCCAAAAATATGGAAAATGAAAGGAGTCAGAATCGAGAGCAGTTTCCCTATTAAGGGAATTTAAAATTCGCACTGCCCTCGGGGCAAGAAACTTTCTTTCCATCTTGCCCTCCCCGGCCAAAGGCAAGCTGCAAAATCTCCACAAACCCGAAAAAATAGTCGCTTGGCAAAAAAAAAAGCTGGTAAGCCGGCTTAGGAGTTGGTCATATATCCTGGCAGGATGTGCACTACTGGCGTCTCCCATTGCCAGCCGAGATGGGATGCCCCGAACTGTCAGTGAGTGTGTTCCCAATAATTGCCAAATATTATGCAAACAAAGGACATCCAATTTTTGTCGAAATCCCCGCTCGCCGCGTGTGGCATCGTAATCGTAGGCTGGCATTAATATTTAAATCCCCCCTTCCTCGCCCTAGCCTAGGCAAGGGTGGCTGCTAGTCCTGCCACACTGCCTCACTGCCACACTGCCACTGCTGTTGCATAATTATAATTCATTTTCCAAAAAAGGAAGCCCCGAAGTGCTGCTGCAATCTGTTAATGATAAACAAATTTTCCACTGCAATCTCTGCGACAGCGGCGACGAAAATGACAAAAAAAAAAAAAAAAAATTAAAATAACACAAGCGCGAAAGGGTTGCAACATTTTGTTGCAACAACGCCGCATGCGTGTTGCCATTGCCCCCGGCAGACCTAAATATACATACATATACATAGTATAGGGAGATGGGAGTGAAATGAATTTTTGCAAGTCTGTTAATTAGCTTAGCGATCGGAATCGCATCTGATCGGGTGAAGTGGCCGATCCTCGGTCTCGCCCCGGTTCAGGTTCGCCAAAGTGTGAAAGTCAAGAGTGTGTGCACTTGGAGAAAATAGGGGGTGCTGCTGCTACGATTTTTTCAGTTTTTTGTTTAGGGTTAAAGAGGCTTAAGAATGCTGGGATATGTTTAGGAAAAATTATACATTCATTTTTTAAAGAAATCTTAAAGATTTATGAAAGAGATTTGGATGCAAAATAATGGTAGATTCATTTTGTAGATTTTCTTATAAAGTAACCTAAGAAAGTTATGTATAATTAAGTTTCTATAAAGCTCAACAAGCTTAAAAAAGGTTATAATATAATATATCTAATCAATAGTTATTATAAAGCTTCAATATATAAATCTGAAGACTTAAGCTAAAGATAGTCCACAACTTCCCTAAGAAGACATTACTTTAAAGATTCTTTAAGGTTTTCTTGTAAAGCTCTTAAAAGCCGAAAAACAACCTCAATCTTTTTCAAGAAAATATTATTTTAAAACCTTTTTAAAAACTAAAAGAATATAACCCTTAACTTTCCATAGAAAAAATCCCAACCTTAAATGCCCATTTTTATTCACAGTGTCCTGGATGAGTGGGCAGAATGCGTTGAATGAGCCATCGGCGGATGACGCGGCAGTTCCGCCGTAGTGACAGTTGGCCTGGACGGGGCATTTGCCATATGCCACACATGCCACGTGCCTCATGCCTCCTGCCTTATGCCTTGTGCCTCCTGCCTCATTGTGCATACATGACTACATATTGCCGCAGGTCAGAGGCACAAAAGTCATGCAAATTTTCGCAGTCTAACTAATGATGCAACTGTTAAGCTTTTTTGTTCTTGCTGGTTGGTTGTGTTTTTTTTTTTTTTTTTTGGGCAGGCGGCTGGTCGGCCTTGCCGCCTGCCACCCCATGTAA